TTTGCCCCCAATTGGGGGTAATTGGGAATGTTCCCAAAGGGAATAAATATATATTCCCAATTTTCCCAGGGAATATTCCTAGGAACATTCCTTTGGGAACAATTCCCAGTAGGAATTTTCAACCCTACTGTCAAAGTTGAAAGTGTGATCGCATTCGGGCTGTGATTAAGAGTTGATTCAAATAATTAGCGAATGAATGACCGAATGGTGTGATTAAAGGGCCGAACGAATGGCCAATGAGTGACCAGTTGTGAGACTGAATGTAATGAATGAAGTGATGACGTCATCGACAGTGTATTAGTTGTCATTCAATGGTTTGTTTACAGTATTATTGTGTAAAGCATTGAGTGTTTGAAATGCAAAATATGTTTTCGTAGACTAACTATAATTGCCATTCATTTGAACACAACATTGATTTTGATTACACTTTAATTACCATATGATTGAGTGATTGTAATCGTAAACCAAAAGCAAACGCAAAACTAGTGTTCAATTCATACCATAAATGCATTGATTTTGTGTTTTGGTTGTGTTTTTCTGTGTTCACCAAAAGTACAAACACTTGTATTCGCTCACAAATTGCTATTTATTATCAAATTGTAATCAAATCTCAACACAAATATCTCTCAGGATTTTTCTCTAAACAAATCGTTTGCTTTTAATCGCAATCATAATAATTGTAATCCAATTCGAGAGTCCATTGTTTGGCCCCAAAGACCGCACGTTATGTTAAGTCGTTTTAAAAGCGCTTTAAATAATGTGATCAACAATTTAGAGCCAAACAGTGGCCTAACGAACGGCTCGACCGCCGGCGCCGGCGATGGACAGCACTCTCATCAGCACACGAGCGGGTCGTCGGCCGCCGCCGCCGGACAACACAATCTCAAGTTCCGATACACGCGACCGGAGTTTCTGTTACTCCAGACCGACGATGAGATACAAGTGTCGGCCGACCATATCATGCGGGTCTGTAGTGGTCTCCACACACTCTTTGTGGCCATTTGTTTGATCACTCATTTAACTCATTATTTGCTTTAAATTTACAGCCAATTATAGTCCCGCGAGATATCACTAAACTTCCCTTCAATTCCGGTTACGCAGAGTATGTGATCAATGGATCTACGGATTCATGTGTTATTAGTTTTGTCATCTGTTTTGATGTGTTTTTAATTGATTTGTTATATGTTTTAATGACTAAACAGAACCATAAATGCGGGCAAAAGTGTCCGCAACGAAGACCACGCGTGTGTTTATCGGTCGACACTTCGGGCCGTCATATCGGATGAGAGCATAACGAATAAAGTGTCAGATATGATGCCTACAGTTCCCGGACATCCGCACCAAATACCCGTCGGCGCCAAAAAAGTCTTACCCCCGAAAGCTTCCGAACCAACCAATGAGAGCACTGATAGTAGTGTTAATTCTGATACGAAAAGTGATAAAACAAATGACGTTAAAGAAGTGATGAACGGCACGGGAGGTGATGGTCAGCAACAGACGTCAATCCAAACCAAAGACACCCCCTTTACTGATCCGCTCCAAACGCCACTGCCTTTAAACGCGTCCACAAACGGACCCAATTTGGATGACTTGCTGTCACCGACGACTCCCATTCCGCTCGCTGTGCGTCTGTCAGAGGCGGCCAACGAGACCGTAGAGTCCGCGTACAACACACCCCTCACATCACCGCAAAAATCTAATTTCAAATCTATTAGAGAAGAGTCACTTCCGTGGCTATACTTCGCTGTGTTTGACGGACACGCGGGTCAGTCATCTAATGGGATGTAAACGTAATTTGTATTATAAAATAAATATTTGATTATTTAAAGGCTCCGGCGTTGCGGTCGCCGTCTCTAATACATTGCATAAGATAATTGAAGACAAATTGCAATCAATCGCTGATCTCTTAATCCGATTCGGTCTCAAAGACGAGTGCAGTAGTAATGAAGAGTCGAATACTGGAAGCGATTCGGAGTCGAAACGATTGAATGGAAGTGTTGTCATAAATCAAGACAACCATTTAGACAAAGAGAATATTGCATTACTATTCCATCCATCGACTGATAAGATGATTACTGTCGACAATCTAATAACTGGTGCTCTGGAGTCGGCCTTTTGGCAAATGGATTCTCTCATTGCAAAAGACAAAAGGGTTTATCGTATGTCTGGCGGCTGTACCGCTTGTATCGGTATTTTCATATTAGGCAAACTATATGTGGCCAACGCCGGCGACAGCAGGTATTTCTCACTTTATTGTTGATTATTTAGATTATATAACTTTTGCTAATAAATTGTATGCATTTTAGAGCCATTATATGTAAAGGCGATGAAGTGATTCCCATGTCATTCGACTTCACACCCGAATCAGAAAGAGAGCGAATCAAGTATTTGGTACGCGATTTGAAGTTATTCTTGTATTTATTTGTATAGTTTTTAATCACAGTTTTTTAAAAACAATTTTAGGGTCTTTTAAAGCCAGAACTTTTGGGAAACGATTTCACGCATTTAGAGTTTGTCCGAAGGCCTGCGCGAAGGGATTTGGGCAAAAAATTGCTATATAGAGACGCCTTTATGACCGGATGGTATGCACAATGAATATAAGATGTGATTTGATGTTTTCATACATTAAATATGACATTTTAGGTCTTATAAAACCGTTACTATCGATGACTTGAAGTTCCCTCTCATTTATGGTGAAGGAAAGCGAGTAAGTGTTTTGAGTGAAATGTTTTACTTTAAAGTTTTGATTATTTTATTTTTAAATTCAATTTAATTAGAGCCGAGTGTTGGCCACAATAGGAGTGACGCGTGGCTTCGGTGATCACGAATTAAAAGCTCAAAACAGTGACGTCGATATCAAACCATTCCTGACGGCACAGCCGGAGGTAATCCATACAGTATTTGAATTGCATTTTATAACATTTGATTGAATCCCACAAAAGGTTCGCATTTATGACGTGGAGAACGACGAGAGTATTACCGACGCAGACGTTCTGGTGATCGGAACGGACGGCTTGTGGGACATCACGACCAATGAGGCCGCGGCCGAAGTCGTACAAAAGTCGTTGGATGTGTTTCCGGCGAATGACGTCCAGCGATACAAATACCGATACATATCCGCCGCACAAGACTTAGTGATGCATTCCAGAGGAAAGTCACGCGAAAGGGGAAGGGGTTGGAAGACAGCGGACAACAAGACGGCCACCATTGATGACATCACAGCTTTTGTCATTCCATTGAAACCATACAAAGAGGAGTACATTAAGTGGAAATCGGCCCGAAATCTGGTCACTGATCAACAGGAATGCAGTGATCGGTAACTCCCGATTAGCCGACCGTTGTTTCGCTTTACTAGAAACCCATTAGAAATCCAAATATTTATTTCAACTCAAAGTTTGATATTGTAATAGATTTATACAAAAAAGACAGCAAAAGTAACCAAATTATAAGGGTTTTCATCGTGTGATACATTGTTTTTTCAAAGCTCTTCATATTTTAAGGCAGAAACAACACTACATTTATTCGCATTGTTTTTCAAAAAGCATTATATTTTTTTCCGTGCAAATCGTTTGATACAAAAACTAAATAGCAATCAAATAATAATATACCGGTATTTTGTGAACCAAAACAATCAAATCTACTCTACTTTGTTGTAAAAACGGAATATTCTCTCAATATTTTATATACAACTTTAATTTATATATGTATTAAATATTTATGATTTGAACCGCAATTATATATAATATATTTCCCAGACATTAGTTTATAGATTGCATTGAATTGTCATTTATATAATACGTTAATACCTTGTGTTCCCATAAAACAAATGTTTGGATAAACTATTTAAATACTTTATTTGATTTTTGATTTAGTTTTTTATTATTATTAACAAATGATTAATTGATATTAATTGAGAAAATGATATCTTAAATACCGAACCAATTCTTAACGAATTATTTAAATTTAAATAAAAAATTATAAAATTAAAGATCTTTAATATAAGTGATGTATAAAAAGATGTCATTAGTCTTCACCGGCGGGTAAGGCGTCCTCTAATTTGCGAATGAATTTGATTCTCAATTCAGTGGTGGCGTCGCCTTTGAGGAAGTCCTGTACGAACCACACCTGCACTTCAATCTGCACCTAAAAGTCACCAAAAGGATCAAATAAACCATTCAATCAACAAAACATCGCAAATGGGCAGCGATTACAAGACATACCATTTCGAGGGCGCCTCGGATAACACCGGGGATCACATTGGAGTACTTGAGTTGAGACAAATGGTCGGGCAGTTCCACGTATTCGGCCAATGGGTTGCTGTCGATGAGGAGTGAGAACTCGTCGTTGGCTGCGGACCAGTTGGCCACCGATGGGTTGACTCCCAAATACATTTTGAAGGCCGACTGAATCTTGTCTGCCGTCTCCTTCATGTCATGACAGCGACCGGAATTGGTTTTGGCCAAAAAGTCTTCAACCAATCGCAACCCTATGTTGTAACCCCTGATCCACGAGAGAGAGAGAGAGAGAGAGAGAGAGAGAGAGAGAGAGACTCAATGATTATAATGACATCAAATTGTGGTAACTATTAAGTGGTGATAACTGGCCGTACATTCTGTCCAACTGTTTGTTCACTTCTTCTGTATTGTCAAAGTCTTTGATGAGTTGCGCGACAAGTGATCCGTAAGTGAGTGTAAATAAATCGCAACTCTTTGTTCACAATTAGTTGAGAGAGAAAACAAACGTAAAAATAAATGTAAACATGATTTAAGATAACAAATAGTTATGATTTACCACTTTGTTCTTCGCGTCCACATTCTTGGCATTCTGTCGGGACATACTTCTGGACACAAACTCAACGTCAATGCAAACACCGATTCAAACAGTGGTTTAACTGTTTGTTTTGCTAAACGCTTTCAAAACACAATTTAATCAATACTTGTTTGTAATGCCATTCAATCATTCAATGCATTCAATGGGTGTTTAAACTCCTCCTCCAATCAAATGCCAAACTTATTCACTCAGCTATAGAGGTGTGGGAACTGGTGTTGCGTTCAAATGCCATTCATTGGCCATTCAATTGATTATAATTACTATGGATTGCAATTACAATCAATTTAATATTGATGTTTGTATTAATTATTATAACTTTATTTAATTAATCACTCATTGAATGACTTTTCGCATATAAACACCAGAATCGTGTAAAGAATCGTATGGCTCACACCTCTACACCTCTACACCACCAGAATTGAAGTCAAGGTCTCGACGAATGGATTGTTTTGAATGAATATTCTGTAAACAAAAAAGCATTCATTCATTCATTGATGGAGTGATCGATCGATACGTTTAAATCACAACACATTTTACTCGACCATTCAATTAAGCCAATCATCGCTCGCTTTGGGCCACGAGTTATGATATAATCGCATCCAAAACAAGGAGACCATCGCTGACGAAGAAGATTGACTCAAGAATTGGTTGATATATCGCGTGTGGAGAATGTCTTCGTCGGCCCAGTCGTCGCCGATAAGAGTGGGTTCGGTGTACGGGAAGTCGGGTCTCGTCTCGACGGCCAAGACGTCGCTCAACGAACAGACGGCTCGCCTGCAGACCAAACACTCGTACGACTGCGACCTCATCGACGATCTCAAGGCTTTCATCAAAAGCAAGTGCAGTATAGAGAAGGACTACTGCAACCAATTGATCAAATTGTGTAACAGTCAGTCCCATCGCAAGTATCCCACACTCGACGCCGAGACCGACTCCGATGTGAAGTAAGTGCTGGCCGTCCGCCGCCGCCACTCATCCGCTGGTTTGTGTTTGTGTTTAATTGTCTCAATTCCCACATCAGGTCTCTGTACACGTCGTGGAAGACGTATTTGGAAGAGACGGATAAGTCGGCGAAGAATCGTTTGCAACAATTTGAACAATTGGTCCAAATTTGCGATCTTCTCAAACAGATTAAGACCAGAAAACTGCAAATCTCTAAGAAGTCTATCGATCAGCACTTGAAGTATGGCTTTTTGTTTCTTTGATTAATTATCCATTTTTTATTGATTTTATTTTTGGTATTCAATGAATTGTTGTTCCCATTGTTGGATGTGATGAATGGCTGTAATGATTGTGTGATTTGACAGGAAAATGCACGAAGAAGTGCTGACATCAGTGTCTGAAATCGACAAAACCCGGAAACTATACTTCGATGACGAACACGTCGCACGACAGGCCAGGGATAAGGAGGAAAAGTATGCCATTCCTCGCCATTGATTCTTGTAATCCATGAGATTGTGATTTGTTTTTTCATTTCAATATCAATAGGATTAAGAAACGAAAGGGCGGTATCTTCTCATCGCTGGCAAAATTGCAGACAAAACAGGACAAGACTTCCGCACAAAGAGAGGCGTCGGACATACAGTCAACTCAAGTATTGTCTTAATATATGACTTAAATTATGGGTTCACTTAAAATCTCATTTGAATTGATTGTAAGGCGCGAAACGATTATTTGATGGCATTATCCGCAGCGAATGGCCATTTGGATCATTACTATAATCTCGATTTGCCACAACTCATGCATAACATCGACGATGACGTGCTCGACAAATGCAGAGGTTGTGACCACACTTTGATCTCTAATTTATCTTAATTCAATTGCTTTCCAATTAACACTAATTTTTGCCACAATTAGACCAGAATTTCATTTTAACAAAAACCTCTTAACTCTAACTCTTTTAGGATTTATTCTATCACTGCTTGAAAGCGAATTAAACGCCATTCAATTGACGAACCAGTCTTTAGATAATGCTTATCGTTTGGTTGAATCCACTTCAGGCGATATCACTAACAAAGCATTTTTAGCTGATCCACAGTCCGCGTGTATTCGGTCATTAAAGTCTCTTTTTCTAAACGTTTTTTTTAAATTCTTTATATGTTATGAATTATAATGAAATGTGCATTAAATCCAATTTATTTACAATTAACAACAATTATAGTGAACTTCTGGTCTATGAGTTCGAGCGGTGCGATAACGATAACATTGATGTGATATCAACGGAACACAACGCAGACATTGCCCTAAGAAATGAGGTCCAGAAGTGGTTCACGTGGTTCTCGAAGGAGTGCCGCAATTTGAATAGACTGTCGGCACAACTCATCAAATGTCAGGCTTTGTTAGCCGAAGGACATAAGGTTTGTGACGAATCACTTATTGGAACCAATGGTCGTATTTATTATTCATGTTTTGCTATTAAGACGGTTGAAGTGTCGGGTCAGAGCTCTCCCGTTGACATCGAGAACCGCATCGACGATATTAAGCAACAGATCCGCAAATGCGAGATCAGTAAACTCAAGGCTAAGGCCAGGCTTGAGATCATCAAAAAAGGTTTGTCTGTCTGTCCAGTGGTTTATTATATAAGTGTCTAATAAATGGTCTAATATTGATGTAAAGCCGGTATCGAAATGGAAGACTTTGAGAATTTTGAATCACAAATTACTACTGAAATCAAACAGCAGTCGCTGTCATTGGATGTGGACATTGGTATAGGAGTGCCGCTAAGCCGTACGCCTAGCCTTCGGAGCACTAATATCAGTACTTATAGCGACGGCGGACGCATATCATCTCTCGACGGAAAGTCAGTCAAAACACTCTCAAACAGTTTATTACTATAATTCATGATTTTATTAATGATTGAATTGTTTGGTTGCAGTCGTTCTGATGACCAGCAAACAGATACACCCGATCACTACCAGACACCGGAACCGGATTTGAATTCTGGCCGATCGGGTCGTCCGGAATCGTCGAGTTCTGAACAATTGGAATCACCCGATCATAAGCACAGCACCTCCTCATACGACACACAACCCAAATACAGCACCTCATCGTTTGACGCCCAACAGTCTCAGGGATGGGATAATTACGACCCGACCCAACCCGCCTGGGATGACGAGACGGCCGCTGTTGCCGTCGTCGACGAGTCCGCTGTTGACGGCTATGATCCCAATTACGCCGAAACAGCGGCCGAACCCGCGTATACACCACTCGAAGGGTTTGTTCACTTATTTATGATTACAGTGAATATTATTTAAACACTTTATGTCCAACAAATAGACCACAACTTGTGGGCAAAATATGTCAGACTCTATACCCATACGAATCCCAAAATCAGGACGATTTGAGTTTTCTGGATAACGAAAACCTCACTATTTTGGAAGCGCTGGACAACGATTGGGTCAAAGCCCAGAACGACAGATGTATTGACTTGATTTTTGCTGTACTTAACAGTTATGTTATTCTCAACTGACTTTCACTTTACTGTCAGATATGATTGGTTTTGTTCCGGCGGCTTATCTGATGCCCATCGGCGACGCACCACAGGATCAGTTGCCATCCGAAGAACCCAATGCCGACAACGGTATTGTCAATGATATACCAATTCCGAGTGAACTCCAATTGTCGAGCGAAGGCGCCCATAGGACTCAATCCGCTGACAGTTTTGTCAGAGCTATCTATGGATATACCGCCACTTCAGAGGAAGAGATGTCATTCAGCGAAGGTTTATATATTAAATTTATGCCTTATTTTTAAAATAATATAATTTATATTAATTACGAGTTTAACAAACTTTTAGGCGATATATTGAAACTGTTGAACAAATCAGACGACGGCTGGTGGACAGCAGAGAAGGATGGAGTGGTCGGACACTTCCCATCAATGCTGGTCCAGGAACTGTCTGACGACCGCGATTCCGGAGCATTCGCTGGTATTGTTTATGACATACAATTGATTTATTCATTTACTTAACGTTTTTTACGTAATTCAAGAATCAGTTAGCGACGAATCGGAAGGCGAGTCGATTGAGTCGCCGACCACACCATTAGCGCCACCGCCGTCGTTCGCGCCGCCAAAACCCATTCATCTGACACCACATCAAGTGGTGATCATTCAACCGACCCCTGAGATAGAGTCGAAGCCCTCGCTGGGCGATGAGGACGAGGGTCTCGACGATAAACCCGATGCCGATGTCAGCGATGATATTGCCGAAGAAGAGGAGCCGCAAGAAGTTACCGTTGAGGTCGTCGTGAATCCAGATTTCACTTTAGATAAACCCATTCCCAGGATTACTGAAGGTTTGTGTTTATTGTTTTTCATTAGTAAATAATAACTTATTCTTAAAACATATCTTACTATTGAATGCAAACCAATAGAGATGTGCGAAGCGGTAAACAATATTTGCTTTTAAACTATAAATTATTTGTTAATGAATTGAATAATTAAATTATGTAATGAATTGAAGGAAACGGAAGAGTCGGCGGAGAATAATTCGGATGAAAGCGAAGAACAGAATTCAATCGCGACGGCAGTCGCCGTCACCATCAATATGTCCGACGAAGACATTCAGACCACCGCTCGAGAGATATCGGAGGCAATAACTCTGGAAGCAATACAAGCGGCCAATCAATACAATCAGGAATTCAATGCCCAGAATAATGGCATTAATAACGATGACAATAATAACACTGAAAATAATAACGAAGTGAATCATCAAAACTATTGCAATGAAGAATCCGATTACGAAGACCTTAAATGAGTGCAAAAACAGAGTAATAATAATCCAATGTTATGTTTATTTTGAATCATTTATTTACATCCTATTGTTATCTCAATTTATATTTTTATTGTTGACTACAATTTGAATACATTATACAAAAACGTAAACCCATTTATTGAATCAAACTTTTCTCGTGTCATAAAAAGCGATACACTTATAGAATATGAATATAATTTCAATATATTGTCAATACTATAGAATTAATCATAGTTTTTGTTATCTAAAATACGCAAACATTTACTTTATACGTGAAGATTAGGTCTGATTACTAGTGATAATCCAAATATAAGAGTTTCCACCAAACCTTCATTATTAAGACCTGAGCAGTGATTTATTGAGTATAGACTCTGTCTCTGTCTATCCGCCAAAGCCTTAACTCTTACGTTAGTGATTAAGTCCTCATTAAGTATTTGAGAAAAGCAAATGCAAACAACAAATTGTTTATTGCAACTTATTTATGGGCTGTTTATCACAATATCATTAACGAGTTTACTTACTTTGAATCTCGGCTCACAATTAATACCATACAAAATATACCGTATTATAAATATCATACATATTTGTAGTGATACTGAATATCATTTTAATTGATTTTTTTGTGTTAATAGTAATTGACATTAAAAATAATATCGAGTTTTTTAAGTTTGACTCTTGAGTTAAGACTCAAATAATCTTTACTGATAGCAAATAACTACTGATAATTAATAAAAAGCATAATTAATAATAACTAATATTAAATAATCTGAATATTAACCCAATGCTGAAACAGACATTGAAAATGAAAAATTATTATTATTTAATAATTAATAAATTATAAAAGTTATTGTTTTTATTGTTTAAAAAATAATTTATTTTCGATATATACATGTTTATGAAGTATTTGATGAGTGCTTAATGTGTTGTCGTATTGTTTAATTTAATGCATAATTTTACTAATCGTATACTAAATGCACAAAAATATAAGGAATAAATACAATAGAAATATAACAATAGATTATTGCATAAAAATTAATTGTTATTGTGTTTAATTGAGACAAAAACGATGTAACAATTTATTTAAGCCACATATATATTGAAAATTTGTTGATATATTTTTTGAATTAGAATTTTATTGCATTACGAAAAATATATAAAAATAAATACAGTAATATATAAATTATGTGTTTAGCTATAATCGGTTCGGTTATTAAAAACTAATAAGTTAATTGTTATTACAAAATAAATACAAATTAATAAAACAAATAAAGTTTAACAAAACTCAATCGTCTCCTGTTTTTATTAAACTGAGTCGAGGCAATGGTTTGGGCGCACTGTTCACAACCGGTGCACTCGTTCGGGCCACTGGTGTCGGCTCTTTAGAGGTGGCCGTTGGCGTGAAATCAGTTTCTGTAGGCATTAGTGTTGGGTACATAGTTATGGCCATTGGCGTGGATTCAATTGGCAATTGTATCGGATCTATAGTTATGGCCATTGGCAAGGATTCGGTTGGTGTGACCACTGGTGTGGCATCAGTAATAGTGGACGCAAGTGTTGTGTCAGTATTAGTGGCCACTGATTCTTCATCATTAATGTTAGCTCTAGACACCGACTCACGTGGAGTGACCACTGGTGTGGCTTTAATAGTTGTGGTCACTGTTGGGGTATCCATATTGATGACCACTGGTGTGGGTTCTGTACTATTGACCACTTGTGTAGGTTCAGTGGTGGTGATCACTATTATAGGATCAGTTTCTGTAACAACACTGTCCACGACGTCTATATCAGGTGGGGTGTTTGGCGTGGAATCAGCCGTTGTAATCAATGGTGTGGAATCTGTGATAGTGTCCGCTGTCATGAGCTCTCGAGTGGTGACTACTGGTGTAGATTCAGTAGTGATGTCCTCTATTGTGGTGTCAGTAATAGCGGTGACGGGCGTTAAACTACGAGTTGTGGGCACTGGTGTTGTATTGGTCGCGGAGTTGATCATCGCTTGTGTGGCGGCGGACAGAGGGTGTGATTGATTGGACTCTGTTATGACGGGTGGAGTAGGAGTTGCGGCCGATTGGTTAGATCTCCGCCGCCGTCGCCTTCTGGGAGGAGGTGTCGGAGCCTTCGGTGTGTCTAAAGTGATCACTTGAGGCTCAAGTGGTGGCGGAGGAGAGGAATCATTTTGTGAATTTAATGATGAAGTAGATGTGGGCCACTCTTCCCCAGGTTTGGATTGTGTGTCTGTATTTGGCGCACATTCTTCCTCCTCGACGAACACAATCTCATCCTTTTCTATGCAATAAAATATTGTATTTCCGGTGATTTTGTCGACAAATGTTTCGCCAATACTTCCATCGGTGACGTCGGCGGAAGTCTTGTCGAAATATTGAGTGATATTCGGTTCAACGTTCTCGAAGTCGAAACCAGTGGACGGATTCCAACCGATGTGTTGGACGCGCCGGAAGTCGTACGGCTCGCCGATGTCTTGTTTACTCAACTTTTTGGACATTTGTTTTCAATGAAATTTAAATACAATTTACTTATTATAATAACTTATTATAAACTTTCTAAATAGTGAACGCGTTTCACAACACTTGTTATAATTAGCAATTTCCTGATGGAGTGCTTTTAGTCATAGGAAGGCAATAGGTTTCTATGCCTACAATCTATACCATATCATTCATATCATGATTAATTTGGATTTTGACTCAAATATTCACTACAATTAAATGAGTCAATAGATTGCAGTTATTGTAAAAAATACTTAATAATGATTCTTAATCTCAAAGTTCAAGCACTCGATTGTATTGTGAGTTTTCCATTCATTTGACTGATTATTAAAAATAAGTGAAATATTTTTTTAATATAACAAAAAGTTATATGTTTTTGGGTTTAGTATCGATAAATATGTTAGGAATTCAAAGAATTGCTCAAAATATTGTAAATATTATTGTGTAAATTATTCAAACTAGCCAACCACTTTATACAGCTTTATGTTGCACTTTATTTATGCAAAACATTTACCATATATAGACAGATTTGCTGATTAATACTGAAATATTAGTGTGATACTGTATATACATTTACAATATACATTATTCATTTCAGATTTAGTCATTGACTAAATTGTAATTTTAATTCTCAAACAGTATTTATACTAAAGTTAAGATGAAATTGATATTAAATTAGAAGGAAATGAATAGAATTTTACATATTGTAGAGTACAATATAGTAATATTGAATATAATATACTCACTTTCAATGAGCTGGAGATAAACTTTTTAGATATAACTTTGTAAAAAGTACACTTACTTACACTTTTACACTTACTTATTCAGTACTTTCTAAATGAAACCATATTTTTCAGCTATTATTTTACAAAACTTGTACTTCGTTTTTCTTAAGCCACACAATCGTAAAATTTTTTAAGATGTCTGAAGAATTGATTGAATCGATTCAAGAATTAAGTGATGAAACCAAACCAGACATTGATTATAAAAGCAATTATGTTATGAATGACGATATCTTGGGATTGATTTTCAAGAAATTAAAAATTAAACATTTGTTGAAATTAGAGTCGGTTTGCAATCAATTTATGGATTGTGTCGGAAGTGCTCTCCAGAGGAAGAGACGGCTGGCAATTGGAGGCTATACTCTTGGAAGCAATAAAATATGCGGCCATTCATTTGCATTTGATAACATCACTGAAGCAGTTATTAATAACAATAAATGCAATTATTATGCTTTGGATTCAATACTCACAAAGTGTTCAAATATTAGAAGACTTGGTATTAAAAATGTTACTTTGGATTACAAAACATTTAAAGTGATTATAAATCGTTGTTCACGTCTTCGACTATTGTTTATGACTTCTGTTAAACTAAAGTTTTTATATAAATTAGATTTTCAATTATTAAAAAGTTTTTTATTACAATTAAATCACATAACAATTAAGGACTTGAATAATAGACAACTTTTACAAGCAATCAAACGGTGGACTCCAATCAAGTCTCTATCTTATTTCGATTCGATCAATGAATCAACGAATTGTCAACAAATAATCAAATGTTTACCACAAACTATAGTTGATCTCAATTTAGTTGGCCATAATTTACAATTGTCTGACATATCACTGGATCTGTTGGTCACTAAATGTGCAGGAATTCAATGCTTGACATTATGGATATCCGATGATTTTGATACTCTCGATGAAACGGGTAACACATATTTTACCACAATTTGTAATCATTTAAAATTTATTAAATGTTTTCGCTTTCGACTGAAAATCTCAAATAATGTCTTCACTGAAAATATTTGCAAATTAACAAAATTAGAGTATTTGTCCATTTATTCCGACATTGATTTCAATACAAATTTATTAAAATCAATGAAATCTAATCTTATATATTATTTGGAATTAATATATATTAAATGTTCACCAAATATGTGGACAAAGTTTTCAACAATATTTCCAATTTTAAAACATCTAACTCTAAGTTATATTCAAATCAATTGTGAGTGCAATGAAAACAAAGCAATCAATGAATGCAAACAATGTATTCACAAATGTATGCAATGTTTGGCTAAATTACCAAAACTCAAGAAATTAAAAATGATAAATGTTGATCTGAATTGTGAAGATCTAAATCTATTTATCAAATTAAATGTATTATATTTATTGAATTACGAAAATATCGAAGAATTGGTATTGTTTTGCATAAATTGCATTGAAAAAAGAAATTCAAAGAAGAAATTCAAACTTGTTTTAGACAAGGAAACGAAAAATAATCTATTGATACAATTGAATGAAATGAATGTTTTGATTCCCAAATATTTTGTTATTAAATCATTTTAATTATATTCTGTCTATTAGTTAACATTTATTAAAATTCAATTTAATCAATGAAAAAGTCGTAAAATTGTTTAGCAATTTAAATGAATTAAACAAAATATATATTTCTATTAAAATTAAACAATTGTTATTATTAATTAATTATATGCTTATTATTAAAGAACTTAAGAATTTACATTTAATAAATATTAATGATATTAAAATTATTTAAAAGTCTATTTATAAATTAATTACAGCAATATATTATCTGATTGTTCATCAGATTTTGAATTGTCTTTATTGCGCAAAAATGGCGTCAAAAGTGTTGGATTCACTTCATTGTGATTTCCACACAATTTGCTTACAATTAAGGCCACAATAAGACCTGTAATCCAAGTGAAGGCCGCGAACCACATATACGACAGATTGTATAATGAAAGTGATTTGTCTTCAGATATCAATATTGTTTGGGATCTTTGAGTGGTATTAAAGCCGATGTCAGGACAGTCTTCGATAGACTGTGACAGAGGTATTGGTTTCGCTCCGAACAATAGATTCCCGAAACCGATCCAAAAGCCGACGATTAGGCTAACGATAAATCCGGTCAAAGCTCCGCATGAGTTACACGTCGGGCAACACATGCCGGCCGTGAAGAGCATAAGCAACGGTCCGCCGACAACACCAAACACAATGAGCGACGCCTGCAATAGACCCGGCATTTGATCCGCCACTACAGTCAATAGGACACAGAGTAGACCGTAAAACATGGCCAACAGTTTGGTGACAATGGTTTCGGTCTTTGGCGTCAATCGTTTGCCGAAAAACAGTTTTACGTAGTCTTCTAACGACACGGCGGCCAATGAGTTGACAAATGAGGACACGGAGGACAACGCGCCGCAGAATATGCCGGCGATTATAACTCCCGGAACGCCCGGATAGGAGGACAGAGATTTCATTACATAATACGGTAACAATTGATCCGCTTTTGAGATGTGATGCTTGACGAGTGGATCGCATCGCCAGAAGTTGGCGAAAATGACTAAACCTGTAAACGCTGTCAACAGAGCCAAGAGGAAAGTGATCGGCCAACTCATGAGGAGAGACCTGTTTTTGATGATTAAATCAATTTTTGGAAATTATTTTCTAATTCGTCTGTATATGACATACAATTGGGATTTGCGTAAAGTCTTGAGTGTTAGCATCCGTTGGACTTGTGTCTGATTAACGCCATAAATGGACGCATATATGAATACACCGCCCAAAAGGAGAGACCAAACCGTATGTCTTGTCATAGGATTTGGATCTAAGCTATTGTTGAATAATGAAAAAAAGTTATTTTGTAAATATTTAATTCATTAAATGGATTGAATACTTAAATAACTGAAGCCTATCTGTGAGTCGAGCCCTTTCCCAGACCACATCCAGCCCTCCGACATCATACGTGCCTTTAATCACAATAATAATCATTGCCGTAAACATAAGGAGAGACTGAAACACATCCGTCCAAATGACAGCTTTGATGCCACCGATAGTGCAATAGAGGGTACAGACAATGCCCACCGATATTATAGCCGTCCATTTGGAGAGACCGGTGACGGCGTTGAGAGCCAATGCCGGCGCGTATAACACAATCGACATATAAATTATCATTTGAGAGGTGAAGACCAAAGAGGCCAAGAGTCGTACATTACGATTGAACCGGTGCTCCAAATACTGATAATAGGGACAAGTATTTTATGGCAAAGTTCTTCGACTAAACTTCATATGAATTACGGATTAAAATACTTCATAAATGGAGACCACTTTAAGTTTGTAAAAGACGGGCAGAAATACATAGGCGACGATCGGAGTGCCCAAAAGGTACGCAAAATTAATGACCAAAAACTGTGTGCCAAACATATAGTTCTCTGCCGTCACTCCGAGCAGTGATATTGCCGACAGAAAACTGGCCATCAATGAGAATGAGACCGGAATTACGGACATCTGTTTGTTGGCCAACAGGTATTCATCGGTGGTTCGCTGCCGACCGCCGCTTAGTTTGTAATAAACGCCAATCAATGCTATTATCAATTAATTGTAAAAAGTGGTAAAACATGAAAATTAATTAATTTCTTAAGAAATATCACCTGAAATGGTGAGCACTAATGCAAAGACCAAATAATCGATGAAATTCAAGCGGTTCTCGTCTGGAACCGACATTTTTCTCTAACAATGTCTAGAATTTCAAATTGAAATTTTCAATACTTTTGATCGCCTCTCAAACGTGTGCTAAAACACTTGTTTAGCGTTTTGTTTTAGAGCAATGTTTGAAAATTTTAAAATATTTACGAAATAATTTGAGATATTTATAAATAAAGCTATAAATTAAAAACTATTTTTAAAAGTCTTCCCTAAATGTTCAATAAGTAATAGTTTTTAAAAATAAATTTTGTTTGCAAATGCATTCAAACATCGTTTGTAACACATTTGAAGTATTGATTTAGTAAATCGACAAACATTTTGAAGTGTTTTCTCTTTTATTTGAGCACAAGTTTTTTTTGCATTCATATTCAGTTCAAAATCTATGGCACCAGAAGCTGATCAATGTTAAATACAAACTTGATTTTTGCTCTCTCTCTCTTGGCCTCTTTGGTCTTCACCTCTCAAATGATAATTTATATGTCGATTTTCTCTCTCTCTCTCTCTCTAACCACGTGCTAAACTAGAATCGTAACAAAATTAGCAAATCTATTACCACTCGTTGCGATAACATATGAGTTACTATTTATATACATTGTATAATAAGAGTCATTCAAGAACTGACACTTTTCTGCTAACATTTAAATATTTCTTTGAAAATACATTAAAATTTTATTTATTACTTCAAAATTACAACTATTTTCGCATAAAAGACTAAAATAACACTCATTTTAATGCTTTTCTTAAAATTGTGAAGAATATGCAGAAAAGTTTATAAAACATCCATTAGTTTCACTAAAACGCTTAATAATCGCAATAATAAGGCCGACGATAATTATGAAGGACTGTACAGACATTAGCGGACACATTGGGAACCGATGGCCAGGGATGGGGTGACCATCACTACTAGTTGTCCATCAAATCACAGATAATTGTTCACCGATTCTGTAAGGAGTGTTGCATTTATTGCAAACCAAATGAATGCATACATAGAGTCCTCTGTTGTCTCTCCCAAGCGTTCAAACATTTGTTGTTGTCTTCAAAACAGATGTCAAACACAGACTCAAAGTCCGCAACAAATGCTTGAATTTGTGATCTTTGCGGTGACTTTCGCGGCCGCACTCATCGCCGCCCTCTTCTATCTCTATCCCGGCTCCAGAAGACAGACCACAATCGCTGGCATCGATCCGAGCCATCCCTCGGAGGGCAATGTGGCCGACATTATACGCGCCCGAAGTGTCCATCAGTTTGTCTCCCAATTGCACCGCAAGTTCGGCCCAATCGTGTCCTTCTGGCTCTTCGGCCCCACTCTCACAGTCAGTGTCCGCACCGAAGAGATCGTCAAGTCGTTGGACTACTTGACAGAAAAGCCCAAAGAAGTGAATGAACTGTTTTTGCCGTTTTTGGGCTCAAAGAGTGTTTTGTTCGCCGAAAAGCATGACCTCCGAAGACAGAGAGCCATTTGGCACCACATGTTTGACCCGAAGTCGGTCGACAGTCAGCGACAGGTGATCCGGGAGTTGATCTCAGAGTTGATACTCAAGTGGTCAACACTTCCCGATCGACAGCACATTCCGGTCGGCAATTATATGAAGGCATTCACTATAAGACTATCACTGGTGACGGGTTTTGGCAATTATTTCCGGAACTCAAACACAGATTTGATTGAATTCAGCCGAAGCTTTGAGAACTGTTTCACTGAACTCGAGGCCCGAAATGGAGGCGATTTACCGGCCGTTAAGAGCGTCAGAGACGACAAGTTTGAAGAGTCGGTCGACAAATGCAGGAAACTGTTGAAGAAAGCCGTCGAACACTTGCGGACCAATAGATCCGCCGAAAACACCGGTCTTTTGGCCCACTTTCTCGACGACTCGTCTATCAGTGATCAGCATTTGATCGACGAGTCCATCACTTTTGTGTTTATGTATTACTCGTTGTCCTCAGCGCTGGTCTGGTCTTTGTATTACTTGTCCGCCGAAACCCAACTCCAGACAGAGTTGAGTCAAAAGTTTCGGTTTGATATCGAAAGCGATTTAATCGAAAAGTTTATCGATTCGGCCATCAGTTCGGCGAATGTTATTCAATGGACATCACGTGTGAATCCAGACGTCGACAACCAATTGGAGGGCCATTTGGTGCCGAAGGGAACGCCTATTATAATGAGTCTCAGTTCCGACCACTTTATGGACTGTTCGACGGATTCAGCGTTAGATGTGTTTCGAAAGCATTTCGATTCGTTTGAAGACCACAATCAATGTCTGGCCTTCGGCTCCAAGACTTCAAAGCGCTGCTGTCCTGCCATTCAGTACTCAAAGTTCATTATAAAAGAGTTAATTATGGAAATAATTAAGAACTTTGAGATCCAATCAATTGATTCCGATTTAATTCCGACACAAATCTATAAAATTTACTCCAAAAGTGAAGAAGAGATTTGGATTACCATTAAAAAGAGGATTGAAATTAAATGATAATAAGTTGTGTATCAATACATGACAACTAGTGTTAACGTAAAGCTATATTTTTGGTTCAATTAATTATTGTAATATAAAATAAGATATTGTTTTTTATATAAATCTATGATTTGTTTTAAGACTTATCTTTAAGAAAGGATTGATTCTTGTATTAAATAAAAATTTTCAGTATAAAAATGAATTAATTTTGTATTCAATTTATTAAACAATTTATCAAAAAATTGTTTATTTTTATCAATCAATTTACAAACAATTCTCACACAAATTATTTGAAAATATAATATTTTCAATACAGCAACGAAACTAAAATCAATTGCAATTGTATTAAAAGTATAATATAAATAAATTTCAGTTTCAATACAAGCGGTGAGAATATTCTGTGCCTATATTTCCACAATAGATGTGTTTTAAAAACTTAATGAAAAAAGTGATAATTAATTGATGCAATAATTTTGCAGTAAACCAGAGGTAAAGAATTTGTGAAATATTTCACACATAAACAGGTTATTCACTAAACTTTTACGACATTATAAAACATATTTCATCGGAAAGGGCACCAAAAATGCAAAGAATTTCACATATTATTAGTGGCTTTTCCGGTGTTTAGTGAATGCAAAACGAGTTACGGTTTTACTGCAAACAACATATAGAGAGCATTACTTGCGATTACAAAACTTTTTAAATCCCAGTCCCCTCTCCGCCCCGGATGCCAGTCCGGGGGTGTTATGTGGGGTCTTGTCGTACAGTTCTAAGTGTTTAATTCATTTATTTTTAATCACAATTAAAATATTAAAACATAATTAATTAGAAATTTGTATAAAAATGATAGATATTAAACAAATATGAAGACATGTAATGTATTTGTATTGTATTAGAGGCCTAACAACGGACTCCCCCTATAATGTGAGCCAACCATTGGTTAGCGAAAAGTTTTATACACAGTATTAGTGAATGAATGGGAAAAACGGTTGAGAAAAGCGCTAAAAAGTATTACGAAAAACAAAAACTGTTTTCTCAATAATAAAGTGATTGAAAAGTAATTATCATTTAAATTGTGTTTTAATTCACATTAAAAGTGAAACAAAAGTTTGATTTATTCGCAAAACGATGAGTGCTTTGATTGAATCAAATGTGGGAAACAAAGCCAAAGACCAGTTTAGGGCCACAAAAGTGGTAAATATATTAATCATTTTCATAATGTCTTTCAATGTCTGTAATTACAATGTCTTTGTCTATTGTCTCCATCGGTGACCATCTGTGGTGTTGTCGTGTCTGCAGTGGAACGAAGTCTTGCATTCATTTTATTTGGGAATTAATGTCAAGAAACGAAGAAAACACATGAAATGTCATTACAATTGTTTTGTCGCCACCGAAGCTGTCGATTGGATCCTTAATTATCTGCGCGTTTGTCCACACTTTACGGGACAACAGATCTCGAGGTCAGTCTCTCGGCTTCTGACCCAACACTTGCCATGAGTTGCCACAACTCAACTGATTGTCTCAAATCTCTGTTTTTACCGCAGATTTCAAGCGATAAATCTGTTGCGAAAATATCTGCAAACAGATGTCATCGAGAGAGTGGACTCTCGACGGACGGGACAACAGTTTCAGGACAACAAAGAGTTGTATCGCTTCACGAGAAACGCCAACGAAAACTTGCCGTTCATATCGTCCGGTAATCTTCAGGGACTGGTGTCGGGCAACGGCGTCGCTGCGCCGCCGCCAACGGCCACCGCAGACACCTCCAAGTCATGCGACAATCAAATCCCGGAACTGATTAATCAAATGTCTTTGACCGAAAAGAGCGCTGCATTCAAACACGTGTTTTTCAATAGATTTGTGTCATTTGTTCCCAATGTTGACGACTATCTCCGAAGGGATGACATAATGTCATTGATTTTGATGCACAACATGACACGGATCAGCGCTAACGGTGTGGTCAGACTCAACGATCGGTCCGAAGATCTGCCGCATTGGGTGGTGTCGGCCATGAAGTGTTTGGCCAATTGTAAGCGCCGTCTCTTCGCTATACGTGAATTGCATTTGACTCATGTATTCATAACTCATTTTTAACGATAACTTTAGGGCCGAAAGCGTCGGGAAGTGACAGCTGTTTACCGAAATACCCGGGCTTTGAGAACGACGTGTTCGGAGTGGTCAGGGATTACTTCATAAACATTGGCATTCCGTTGATTCCCAACCAATTATATTCGCTAATCATTCACATCTATGACAAGTACACCAACACCGGTGGCCAACAGACGTACGCCACGATCAACGCGCGCAACACATACGGCCTTAAAGTGAGACCCATTCAGATCCCGACGCCTACTCTCTTGTGCTGTAATAAACCGCAGACAACGTCGACACCGATCGCTGGGAGCGGAGGCCCTCTGCCATCGCCGACAACAACTGTTGATTTGCCGCCGAATCACGTCTACGAGACGGCGTTTATGGGCGAAAATCCTGTGACCAAAATTGTGTCCATCGATGAGCTCACGAATCTCTTCGCCACCAGTTCTCGGCTGAAAAGTTGCGACTCTTTGTGCGACAAATACGCGGCGGCGAAGTGTCTGGCGATGAGGAGAGCGTCGTCACCGACGCCCGAAAACAGACGCTTTGTGGACGCGATCGCAACTATACCGAGAAATCGGCGCCATTTGCTGTCACCCGTCGGCGGCGACGGCACCGCCTATAAGAGTCCGATCGCCGCCAGTATTTACAAAACCCAATTCCGATCGCCCGACTCGAGCGCCAGCAGTACTCACAGCGCCTTTGGTTATCACAACTTTGGGTTTGCGATGCAAAGTCCCGCCGAAGACGGCCAGTATATGGAGAGCAAAAGTGTGTGCTCTCTGTCGTCCATTCATTTGAGTCCCATTTCGCACAACAATCCTAACGACAATCTGAGCGCTCAGTTCTCCAACAACTCGTCCAATAAGTCCGATACTATAGTCAACACCAATGATGAGAAACTGCTGGAAGCGCTCCGAATGACACTGTTTTTGATGCCATCGGCTAATAGAAGACATTTACACCTTTTGTTAAGACTTTTGTCGAAGATTTTGCAAAACAAAGAAATCCATTTCCGTTTCTATGATAACATCTCTGCCAAGGAATATGTATTTTTAAATTAATTATTTTTATGAAAACTTTCAGAACTAATGATTTGAGTATATTTTACGGCAGATATTGAGAACATTCACGAGAAGTATATTATGCGCTGAAAAGGAGAACATTTACAACGAGATTAAAGCCCAGAAAATTGTGTGCCTTTTGCTCGACAATTGCAAAGACATGTTTAAAGTGCCCGAAGACGTGGTTCAAGGCGTCGACCGATTGCTCGTCGAAAAAGCGACAAAAGTATGATTGGAAACACAATTTGAAAATATTTCTATTTTAACACTAATTATGTTTTCATTTGATTGATATTCTGAACGACAGATACTGTTGGCAGAGAACGAGCGAAACGCTGACCAGTATTGCGAGAAAATCACTGCCGAAGAGTTTGAACTGCAAAGGGATGTGATGTCTGAGTACGCGTTGGCAGACCTTCTCAAGAGTATTATGACTGACGATAGGCTTACCGATAGGGATAAACTCAAATGGATTAAACAGGTAATCATTATAAGCACTGTTTTGTCATTATTTTATCATTTTATTAATGAATGATTTATTTTGAATGGGTTTGAATTCAGTTCAAGTCATACCATCCGGATGTCTATGACTTGTATTTCACGAATCAATTAAAAGTCTCGAAATCAGAGGAATATTTGGATAAAAGACATAAAACGCCGAAACGAGTGTCGAATCGGAATCTATTTAAAAGATTTTTATCAATTCGTTTGTGACTATTATTATAAATATTATGTAATTTTATTTATCAAACATTTTATTTACTTTTTATAAAAATTATTTTACACTCAAATTATGTTAATAACAGATTAAAAATGTATTGACTATATATTGACACTATTTAACGCATTCATTGATCTGATTATGAAATAAAAATGTTTAAAACAAAGACAATCAGAACTAAATGTCTTGCATTTGAAACGCTATGAAAACACTGAAGAGTTGTTTGACTTTTTGTTGCATTCCTTTAAAAATGAATGTTTCGAAGAAATATTTCAAACGATAAAAAACTATACTTTATACCAAACTTTTCTATCTCTCACTATAACTCTTGTATTGAATAACATTAACAATACTTTTGATACAATTATTTTAAACTAAATTAAAATTTTAACAATGGTTTGAAAATTTTGCCAAATTTTCTTCGCCTTCATTGCCAACAAAAACGTATAACGCTTTTGTCACAATCTTCCGCACACTATCACCAAAACCACATCCAAACCACTTACAAATCACACCAAACTTCACAAACCCAACAATAATGACCACAACTACTACTACTGCTTGCAGTGAAACCCAAATCACTTCTGGAGCCATACAATCGGCCGACAGAAGTGGACGACACGACTGTTGTGTTGTAAAGTTCTGGCGAAGAGTCAGAGGCAGAGCCCAAGACAGGGATCCGAACGCAACCAACGGTTCCACTCATAACAGACAACACAAAAGAAGGAATCGAGAGACTGATAACACCGGAACCACAGCTCTGGCCATAACATCGGCTGTTGAGAGGAAGGAATCGGTGGCGACAAGAGTTGGCCCGCACTTGAGTCCCGACGAACAGCAGAGGTCTCTGTGGAGATCAGCTGACAATGTCTTTAACACCGCTTTCAAAGCCATTCAAAGGATTCCTAAAAGGATTCGCACCAAAAGACACAACAGAGCGCTCGACAAACGGCTCAAGTCGTTAGGCTTCGGACCCAACGATTCCATACCAGAGATCAGCTTTGGATCTGTTATTACGATCCGAACCAATGCTTTGTATGACTTGTCGGCCGAAGAAGAGGACAATGAGTCGGAGTCGACACCAATTGAGGACTCGTTCACAACAGACACGACCGAAGAGTCGACCGACGTTTTGGTCACAAACCAAGTGATCCAATGTCTGGAGAAAAACATCTCCACTTTGAAGAGCACTCTTCAAGACATAGACTCACTGTTAGCGTCAACTCAAGTGGAGGACAACGACGAGTGCCCACAACAGGTCTCCACTGTGTCTGCGGTGGCCCTCGACTTACCATCAGTTCCCGAGACAACAGCTGCCGAAGACATGGACTCGGTTTCGATGGAATCGTTTGATCTCGAGATTGGCATCGCGTGGAAGAGCGCAGAGTTAAGGGTTACTCGAGTTATAGAGCAGTCGGTGGCGGACATCACCGCACAGTTGCTGTCACTACACACGGAGGACAACGACGAGTGCCCACAACAGGTCTCGACAGTGTCTTCGGTGGCCCTCGACTTACCATCAGTTCCCGAGACAACAGCTGCAGAAGACATGGATTCGGTTTCGATGGAATCGTTTAATCTGGAGATCGGCTTCGCTTTTAAGAGAGCAGAGCTGAGAGTTGCGGACATGACCTCAAAGTTGGTGTCATTACACACGTCTCCCGAAGACATGGATTCCGATTCAATGGAATCGTTTGGTCCGGAGATAGCAATCGCGTGGAAGAGCGCAGAGTTGCGAGTTCTGGAGCGCGCGGTGGCGGACATCACCTCACGGTTAGAGTCCTCACAGATATTACTCGTGTCTCCCGAGGAATGCATTCAAATCCCAGTTCTTGAGCCCAAAGAGAGTCAAATTCAAAAGTATTTACAAGAAATGGTGTCAAAGAGTGAGGTATTGGCCATCAAATCATTGGGTGAGAAGACAATCGACGCCAGAGTCGACTTCGATGTCGACGTCAAGCGCGAGGTCTCAGACATGAGAGCGGAGATGGAGGACAAGCAGTTGGGGATAGAGTTAGCGCTGTTTGTGGCCAAAGGTATCGCTGAGGAGAGACTCGCGGACACGACTGCAGACACCACACGACACAAGCAGTCGTGGAAAGAGCTGTTGGATGTGTTGCGAGACATCGAAGCAGCAAATGATAGCCTTTGGACACAAACGAGTCGTCCATTGGACTCAATGGAGACCACATCTGGTGATCGCTTCCACGACTCGAGTCACACGACTACTGTCACCAGTGATGTCAGTCTTCAGGACACCTCTTCTGTCACGAGTGATGACATTCTTCAGGACAGCTCTTCAGTCACCAGTAATGCCGCTCTTGAGGACAGCTCTTCTGTGACCAGTGATGCCGTTCTTGAAGACACCTCTTCTGTCACCAGTGATGCCGCTCTTGAGGACAGCTCTTCTGTCACGAGTGATGATAGTCTTCAGGACAGCTCTTCTGTGATCAGTGATGACAGTCTTCAGGACAGGACTACTGTCACCAGTGGTGCCGCTCTTGAAGACAGCTCTTCTGTGACCAGTGATGACGGTTTTCAGGACAGCTCTTCTGTCACGAGTGATGATAGTCTTCAGGACAGCTCTTCTGTCACCACTACTTCCGTAAGCGATCTCTTTGTCGTTGTCTTCAATCACTTCCCGTCTGAAGACATTTCAAACCAAAAGTCAAAACTTTGAAAAACTTTTCGCCAAAAAGTGTTTTCCAAATAAACCAAACATTTGTTCACAAATGATGTCATGTTTTGATGAATGCATTGAATAATGAAATGAATGTATAATTGAATTGAAAATTAATGTTAATTTAATTTACATTTTTGTGACAAACATTGCATACAATCAACGCATGTATTGACAACTGATTTGATGAGAGCGTCAAACGATTTGTTGGCGACTCTCAGGCAAAAAGCATTTGAAAACTTTTCCAAACTTTTGTTACAAATTTTAATCAAAACATTATTATTAACACTAATCTTAAGACTAAACTTAAGGAAGCGATAAATCAATAATTTATTTATTAGATAAGTTTTTGAAACAAACGTTGCTTTTAAAAAGTAATACAACTTATTATTCATAGGATTTGTTTGAATGCAAAATGAATTGATTAAACAATTAAACAAATTTAAAACAAATAGCTTTTATTCATTCACTTTATGATCGATGGCATCAATACATGTGTCGTAGCTCTGCATCCAAACCCTCACCACAACCACAATCACTGTCAGTGTTGTCCTCTCAGACCACCGCTCACTCCAAGCGGTCTCTAAATCCAAACTTTTAATTGCAGTACAAATCAGTCAATACTTTGATTAATGGCTTTTCTGCCGACTCGAGACTCTTCGGGCGGACATACGTTGCGGTCAGCAGCGGATCCTCGAGGACTGCGAAGCCATTGAATTCCTATCCAAAGCCATACACTTTAAAGACATTTCTCGGTTGTGTGCCTAACGTTCCGAATCCACCGCCGAATACAAACACTGTAACCAATACTATGGCTACAATTGGTTCCAGTTCTTCATCAGTGTCTCCGCAACTAAACAGAGGACCGGAAAGCGAAGGAAAGACGAGTTCGACAACTATTGTAATAGTGGTGACCGTAATCTTGATTGTGATAATAGTGTTGTGCGCTGTTATCTACTTCTATATCCGACGCAATGGTAATTATAACTCATGAGTTAAATAGCGTTTTTCTCAATACATTGAATTAATTGAACAAATGATGTCTATTTAGCGAACACTGAAACCATTGCTCAGCGAAAAAAGATGTCTGAAAAGGAAAGCAAAGCCACCGATACTGAGACCAGATTGATGTCCATCGAGACCATCAACTCTTCCACTGGATTTAAAGACAAATAATTTCATTTCTATTTTATTTGCAAATAAAACTTCAATTTATTTATTAGTATTTCTGTAAAAAACATTAAATAAAATTTGAGTCAAATATGTTTTTAGTTTTAGATATCAATAACTTTTTATTTAATGTCTTTATTTGTGAAGAATATCTGAATTGTTGAATAAAGTCTTCACTTTTTGTTATTTTCTAATTTCTCATTAATTTAACCCAAATTTTAATCTGAATTCAAAAATATAACAATAAATTCTTCACTCAATGAATGATTTATGAATTGAAAGTATTATTGCATTTCATATAAAATGAGAACTCATTTGAAAATCGTTTCATTTATCCGTTGAGACAAATTGTATTCATTTGTAAATTGAATACAAAATATTGAGTCAAAAATGTATCCAAAGCTTGAAATGGATTCGGAAGAGGAGACGACACCTGCGGTGCGATCGGGCGGTCAAGTGATGTCGAGTCGACGGCGCCGTCGATGCCGTTCGCGTTGCCCGCGATGTCTGCCTCCCAAGTGTGACATCCCTTGCGGTCGAAGACACAGAAGGGGTCACCCGAGACCAGATCGTCATCGAAGACGCCGTCACTCCAGAGGAAGTCGTCGACGAAGGAGAAGGAGGTCTCGCTCTGGAAGTGATGAATGAGTCGATTCCATTCAATCACTCAATACAAAGGCTTAAAGGCTTTCCATTTGATGTCAAAATTAGTTTTTGTTGTAAATTATTGGAAATAAAATAGTGTTTTGAAACCATAACTATTTATTTATCTGTTTTTGAATCTAAGATAATTTGATTCAATTTTTCAACTCATATATTGTTTTGTCTTCGGATTAAAAATGAGATAACATTTAGAAAACCGTTAATAATTAAAATTTTCCGTTATTTATATAAATTTTGAATTCAAAATCAAACAACAATTGAATTCATTGCAAACATAAACCACTATTAGATTAATTGAATTATAAAATTAGATCTAAAAGTAAATGCAGAAATCATTACATAGTTTGTACTTTTAAAACATTATGTTTATTGCAATATACATAACATATTTTGTATTTGAAAATATAAATAAAATTAATTAAATTTATATATATTTGTCTCATAAATAAGAAGATCACAGAATTATTTGATTGATTTTTGGCATAAAGTTATACAATAATTATTTAGCGAAAAGAGATATATACAGAGAAAGAGAGGTGTCATCGATAGTCGGTCTCGTCCTCGAAGTTCTCGCATATCCTAGAGATGACAACATTAGTATAGATGGCATTAATCAGTCCTTCCACTCGATATGTGGTGTGCGGTTGGCTTTGACCAGAGTTTATATCATTGGGACTCATATCAGTAATCTGTCGCATAATTAGTCACACAATTAATTACATGCAAAATAATGGATATACATGTATTAGGAATAGAGGGGTGGGCCCACCTGATGAAAGTGGCAAGCACATTTTCCTGGCATAAAGTCTTTGAATTTGGCAATCGTTATATTGTAAGTGTCGACCACTTCTATGCCTAACTTCAAGGCATATGAGATTAGTTCGCTGTTATGGAGGGCTAACTTTTGCTGCTCTTTCTGTAATTGTTAAGTAAATTGAGATGTATTTTAGTTATGACTCATAACTTATGAGTATTTTTTTGCTAAAATTAATAATTAATTATTTAATGAGAAGACAACTGACTAAAGAAAGGCAGTGAACGCCTTCGATGTGTTGATGAAAACCGGCGCCCAATGTCTTCATCACGAGTTTGATTCCTTGGAGTTTCAAACTATTTCGTTATAAACGGGGAGAAAAAGTGTGAAAATAAATATAATTTATTAAAATTTTTGATTAAAAACATAGAAAATTGTTTGAAAGCACACAAAACATCATTATTCCGTACTTTAAGTCTAATATAAGCCTATCTTATTGTAAGCGACAAAAAAGTCAAATTAATTAAGCGCTATATGTGTGTCAAAAATGTCTAAAAAACTATGAGATTGTTGTTTCGTTAATATTAGTGCCAAAAACTCATTTATTAATGATATGCCAAAAATGTTATACTTTGCTAACGTCTTGAGCAACATATGGATGTGTTGTGTCGCCAGCCATTGAACGCCGCCGAAGATTAATACAGTATTTGAGTTATTTTCCAACGGCTGTACTCTAATAGACGGTAAATCACAGAAAATAAAACATTTCAATTAAAACGTGTCCAATAAATAATGAGAAAATAAAATACTTTTCAAAGAGTTGATAGACTGCCCGATCGAAAGACGGCCTTTGATTTGTTGGTAACCAAAACTTGGGATAATAGGCAAAACTGACAACAGTTTTCCTCTTATTCATATTGGGATAGATTTTCAGGTCGTGTGTCTTATCCCAATCGATAAGAGTTCCGTTCAGTCTCTCAATCATGTAATGCATAATTCCTCTATTGGTTGAGTCGCCGACGAATAATATCTAAATTAAATTCAATGTAAAAATATAAAACTTTTTTGTTTATTTTACAGAATTAATATTAGTATTGTTTGTATTATTCTCTGTAAACAAAAATACACAAAAGCATTAAATTGTTATTTGAATTGCAGTATATTTACTATAGTAGTCGACAAAAATAAAATTAATATCAATCATAGAGAGACCGCACCCATCGGAGTCCGACCCATCATATTCTGTGGGCTTTTTAAATAACTAAATCCCATATTTATATGCGATAATCCTTTTAGTAAATTAAATCATGTACTGTATATTGTGCACCAAATGTTATATATGGCGTTTAATGCACTGTCATATGAATCTACTGCATAAATGAATAGCATTTTTGTCTAATCTATTACACTCTCCTAACGACAGAGTAATTATTTAAATTAATAATTAATGCATTGATAGTAAATCGTAAACAATTATAAACTACGGCAACCTTTTTGTTGGTGAGACACGAGGAGAGCCTCTTTTGCGATAGTCGGGGGTAATGGCACCGAATTGGGTCCCATCGGGCCTCACGCCAGTAGCACGTGGTAGAGTTGCCACAATCACCGCACGGCACCGCCCATTGGCCACTCTCGGCACCCGTTTTGCACTTTGTGGTCAACGATTGTCGGTATTGATAGGCCCGCCAATCGGTGTAATCGTTTTGTTCGCTGAGTCCGCACCGATTCCGGGGATAGACTCTCATATCACAGTCCTATCGATGCGATCAACAAAAATAAAAAACATTTTTGCGTTCAATATGTTAGGGAAAAAATAAAACTCTTCTCATTAATTATTCATTGCATTCAATGTATAGCTATTTAACAACGAAAGCGATTCTTTAGCTTTTCCTGATTCAGGAAAGAGTGTGCATTTAAGCTCTCTCTCTCTCTCTCTCTCTCTTTCTCTCTCTCTCTTTCTCTCTCGCTCTCCATAATAAGTGATATATAATTAAATGGTATGACAAAAAAGATGGTAATTTACTTGAGTGAAAGAGCAGACCCGATGGGGTAGTTGTGCACGAAATTCAGGCACATTATGTGTGACGGGATGACGATTTACGATCACTGTGTATGTGTTTATAACCCACGGCTCGGTGTGTGATATATCGACCACAACCAGCGATATCTTGTTGACCCCAATTCCGAGGGTATAATTTGTCTGTCTGTCCGACACATAGAAGAGTGCATTCAGTTTAGACATTAAAGAGAAAAAAGACGTTGTCTTTAACGCATATAAGACGGTATATAAAGTACACTACGAGTACAGTATATCACCGCTAATGAGTCGTTCAGACTCTATGGCCAACAAATCTCATTCATTATGTTTTATTATTTCTATATTTTATTCATTTTTATGATGATTACAACACATTTATATATAAGCGGTTATTTAGCTAATAAAGCATAAACGGATGGCCACATCATATCAATATATCATAATCATAATCCTGATCGATAACACATACCTCGATGGACCGAACTTATCCTCGAGCCTCACCTCTGTCTGACAGTTCTGCGCTTTGGCCCAAACGGTGACCATAAGCTGTTCATATGAGGCGTTGCAATGATATTGTGTGATAAGCGGCGAGAATGGAGGCATTAATTGCAATGTAGGACTCAATTCAATAGACGCTAAATAAGGCAGTGTTGAGGGCTCTGAACAATACAAACAATCATATATAAGATGAAGAATATGTGATAAATTGTTTTTATCTTTTAATAGCTATAAGAAATGGTAGCAATAAAATAAAACTACAAGTTTGAGTCAAAAAGCGATCATCACTTCTTTCATCGGACAACACATTTAGATGATAATTGAGTGGTGAATGTTATGGACACTTACCATCGGAACAGCCATTCACTGTGGACGACGACAATGAGTCGACGAATGGGTTGTTTTTATCGTTTAAATAGACGGAACTGTTATGAAAGCTAACCATTTGATTGTGATTTGAGTGGTCGCCGGTGCCGGCGCTGTCGCCATAGTCTTCATCGATAATGTGTCGGTAATAATAGCGCTCTAATGACATGAGAAGCGGATGAAGATCTGCCGTCTTATGCACTGACATCTCGTTAGCGGCCGTTTGGCCCACACTTTGGGCGACAATCAATTGACTCAATTCGTCGATTAGCTGTTTGTAAGTATCGATTCCGAGCGCCGGATATAAGCTCTTAAACGAGCCCTTATTGAGCGACTCTCGTCTGGCGTTCAATAAATAACTCAAATCGTCTCGACTTAAGCACAGGTCGTGCGATATGTGACAACTGATGCCCATTACGCCGATGTTGTCGTCGATCACTTCGTCGAGAGACTCGGCCACGTCGTTGGCCACCGAATCCGTGGCACTTATCATATCGATCACGTCGTCGAGGACCAGCTTCTTCACCCGACCAGAGAGGGGCGACTCGTCCTTCCGTGACTCCTGCATATTTGGCTGTCCGTTCACTTCTATACACACCAATCAAACAAAACATATTTACGTTAATTCTGACCATTTATTGCTCTCCGATTAATAGCTATGAATGTAATGATTGTGTATCGCATGCTTTGACAGCGCAATCATATCACAAACCTATGATAAATGGCTCTAAACTGGAGTTCAGTATCATATCGAAAGCCATTAAATGGAAACAAGAATTGCATTTCGCATACAATAGTCGCTCGGAATTAATGTTATTTGAATGCATTCTCGAGTGCTGTTGTTGTTGTGTTATAAGCATCGCCTCCGCTATCAATAATGTCTGCAGAATCGCTCGATATATACTATTAATTGCTTTTTTCATTTTATCGGTTCCGAAATTTTTCGATATAAACGGCCAGAATTGGCTCAGAATCCATGTTCGGCCCGGAATCTAATCCATACACAAATACCACATCAACTCAATAGGTATTCTCATTCAAGAATTTCAAAAAATGTTAACCTTTTTGAAATTTTTATTTTGTTCGTATCGATGAAACACTAGACCCTCGCTGTGGACGTAAGCCCTGAGCGGTGCCATAGATGTGACGATAACATAGAGTCGCAAATTGACGGGTTGTCCAAATATGTGCAATGGATTGGCCACGTATTGCTGGATTACAGCCCTCTTTATGTTGTACTCTCGGAGTCGATCCCTTCCCTCATTAGTGAATATGTTAATCATTTGCGGACCGTTTCCCGGTGTGTGTCCGCCGATGCTTATGGGCTTTAACAGCCATTCGGCTGAATAGCCCAGTGCTAGACATTGGGAACGAAATATTGTGTTCAAATGCATTGCATAATAGACAGACATATTAATCTAATTAGGTTTCAAACAAGCAATTAATTAAAACATATAATTATATATTTTTGAAACAAAATAAATGACATATAAAAGCCAATAAAATAACGGATCAAATGAGCGGATATACTAATAATTAGTGATAAATTAATGGCAAACCTTCCGCCACATCGACGAACTGTTGGAATTGGTTTGGCATAAGAAAACACAGAGGAGTCACCGGATTCTTCATTATAACTGCAACAGTATTGTCAAACATATAATACATATGAGAAAAAATTGTTTGATTAACTCTATCATCGCTATGAATAGAGCGAACATACAATAAAAATAGCAGATAATTAAAAGCAAATATAAAGGCAATTAGTGTCTAAGTTATATAGACTACATGTGCCAATACTGTACTAACGGTGCACTTTCCTGGCCTCAGTCATTGTGGAGCAAAACGTGTCTCTTTTCCACAATAGGTTCCGTAATCCGGGAATTCTATTCACTTTCTGATAGGGTTTTAATGATTGAATGTCTTTGCGTTGAAGACAAAAGCCGTCGTCTCCATCGGTGAACGCCAAGCAAAATAAGATGAGCCAATCTTTTTGGTCTGGTATGTGGTGTATGTGTGGTGTGGTGTCAGTCACACAGTATGCCATCAAAGTTAGGGATAGGGATCAACCAAAAGCATATTAAAGTCTATATTATATATGAGCTTATCTTTCGGAAAATAAATATTGTGTTTAAATCCTTTTCTTTTGGCATAAGATTTCTCGTATTTTATTCATAAAATAAATATATATTTTTGTCATTCGCAGAGACATTATATGATAAATAATTCAGTGCCTATAGTGTTAAATATGTATAGAGATGTGATATACCGGTCATATTGTGTGCGGTTTGTGTGGATGCTCTGCGTTTAGATCGGAGCCAATTGGGGGCGTCGATGGTGTAGTGGTGTCTCTCCAAAGCCGATCTATAAGCGGCAAAATCTCTAGATATGACACTTCGTTGGCCTCTAATTAATGCAAGTTTTGAACCGCTCTTCGGGCCGGGAATCGACATCTCCTCGATCTGTGAGACCATAACATACAGAGAGTGAGACAAACAGTGAGAGAGTTAGTGAGCAAAGAAGACATTTACTTTCTGATCAGACAAACATTAATCGCATGTCTTTAATAAATATTTAATGACTTCGAAAATACTCTTTTGATGTTTTTTTCTCTGTCTCTCAATCCTATTACTATTGAATACAATTTCTATCGCAATCTCTCTTTAATTATGATTAATGAACTGATCGAAAGAGCTCTCAGAAACATAATATATATACCATTTGCTAAGCTATAGGAATATTCTGTAGAATTAGTTAATATACTGTATATATTATTATTACAGTCATTACTATTAAAGACTTTACAGGAAGAACTCAATAATTCAAATAATGATAATCATATAATAAATGATAAATAAGTTTATGATTAAGTTATGTTCAATATTAATCTATGGTATGATTTTTCAAAGCTTATGATTAACTCAATTATCAATTCACGCGTCAAAACTTGTGTCAAACATATGCCATACAATCAATAATCAATTTGTTAAATGATATACTTTAGCGTTTAGTTAATAAAAAAATCAGTATAAAAATAAATTTAGTTTTCTTATGTCAACTTCAATCGACTGTTTTAAACAAAACAGAATTGTTATATAAAATGAAAAAATTAAAAATGTCTTATTTTTAATAACTTTAAAAACTCTTATCTATTGTAGACAAACAAACAAAACGATGAGATTATACTTAAAAACCAGTCGTAAGATAAATATTTGACATGAAATATAATACACAACAACAATAACAAAATGTGTTGTGTGTCTGGTATTAAAGGAGAATATTTCACAAACAATAAAAATGCGAAATATTTTTTCCGCACTAATTGTTACATAAAAAACAATTTCAAATGAGTTTTGAAAATCGATATTTCTATTTAAAAACAAAATTGTTTTGTCAATAAAAATATGATAAATTTATATTTTCCCAAATTAACCATTTGCATTTGTTATTTTATAATAAATATCATTTTATTTCATTATTATTATAATCGTAAATAATTGTTATGTGTTTATTGCCGACGATATCGACATAACTGATGACATTAACAATGTTTAACACTGTTTTGGCGTAAATAGACGTGTATTGAAAGTTAGCTTTAAATTTATAAACTCTTTTCACGAAACATAAAATGCATTTATAGTGTGTTTCATATTTTATTGATAAAATTATATGAAATAAACACTTCTTTCGTAGAGAATAAGTACGGAATAACTCAAGAACTTTCTCTCTCTCTCTCTCTCTCTCTCTCTCTCTCTCGCATTTGATTCAGTGATGTGTTTGTTTGGTGTCTTTGGGCCTAACATAATGTGTTCATTGAGGACATGGATGGCATGAATGGTAGGCCGGCCTCCCGATGGGATTTTATAATAAATGTCGATATAAATCATGATTTTAAGCTTAAAACTCATGCAAAAGGATATGAACTCAAAGAACTGAAGAAAAATGTAATAGAATTCCAATAGAGACACATATATCAAGTCGTTTGATATTTTATTTTCATTTTTCTTTATAAAGCTTTCTCTCTCTCTCTCTCTCTCTCTCTCTCTCTCTCTCTCTCTCTCTNTCTCTCTCTCTCTCTCTCTCTCTCTCTCTCTCTCTCTCTCTCTCTCTCTCTCTCGTTGATGTCTATACCATTGTTTTCAATGTAAAAGTCTTTTAGCTATAGTTTACATCTATTAGACTGGAGTTCAAGTGATGTAACATCTCTTTTGAAACATTAATTTTTATTTCATTATACACTACTCTATACTATATAACAGTATTGTTATTATTATATATCGACTTCTTTTTTATTTTTGCAAAACAATTTCACTGAAGAATGATTTGACATTTAATTCAATTTAATACAAAATTATAACATTTGTTGAAACATTTTTATACAAATATTTGTGTTTGAATTACAACAATAACTATAACTTAAAACGACAGGAATATTATATTTCTTTATATACTCTCGTTTTGAAATTAATTTCAACACATATTCTCCACGACTTGTGTTTATTGAGTCGATAATAAATTTTACTTTTTGAAGACTATATTTAATTATTTATATGTTTTCACAGAAATATGTTTTTACCTGTAGTTGAAATGTTAGCACAAATTTATACACTTCACTGAAATTAAATGAAATATTTTGCAAACAATACTCTCACTAAAAGGTTACAAAATAACATTAAAATATATACAATTTACACTTTATATTTTGTGCAAAAATTTTGTTATAACTGTTATAAAAAGTTTCTACTATAGGGTTAAGTAATATATAAAAGCTATACAGATATTCATGTATATAGATGTATACAGAGCTGTCACCCTATTTGTCCAATTTTTGTTATATTTTGATTTATTTAATTTTAAAATGAAAACGAATAATCTTTTAAATCTATATGGTATATCTTTTCATCAATTATTTACAATTTTTGTGTTAGATTAACAAGAATTTAACTTTTGTTTGCGATTATTGGTATTGATCAGTAATTTCTTATGAATGTGAATATCTATACAGAGCTGTCACCCTATTTGTCCAATTTTTGTTATATTTTGATTTATTTAATTTTAAAATGAAAACGAATAATCTTTTAAATCTATATGGTATATGCTTTTATGTACTTATATCTAGTGTATCTAATCCCGATGTGATTGATCTTCTAACTACCCGTCGGAAAGCTGTGGCCAAACATATTTAAAACATGAAAATGATAGAGTTACCATTTTCAAACTTTAATTGCTCAGGCCCCTGAATTAGGAATTGATTGAATTTCATTGGCATTTGTTTGGCATATGTTATAGATTAAAATCATATTCTAATCTTATTAAAATCCTGATAAGTTTGAACTCCAATATAATTCTTTCAAAAATTAGCCATTTTGCAAAATCCAGAATTTTAAATATTTTAATTGTGAAATTTTTCAAATAAAAAATGCATTCATATTAAAACCATTTACGGTGACAATACACTGTCAAATAAACTACACTTGACCATGTTGGTTTCCTTATCGGTGTACAACATCACTCCATTGTGATCAAATTTGTTACTCAACCACATATTAGAAAAATGCTTTAATTTTAATTAAAATGGTATATAATTGAGATCAACAATGGAATAAAATTAACATATAAGTAATGACTATTAGCTATGAAATTTATGTTAAAATTTTCAAATGCCTGAGCAATTAAAATTTGAAAATGGTAACTCTATCATTTTCATGTTTTAAATATGTTTGGCATATGTTATAGATTAAGATCATATAATAATCTTATTAATATCCTGATAAGTTTGAACTCCAATATAATTCTTTCAAAAATTAGCCATTTTGCAAAATCCAGAATTTTAAATTTTTAATTGTGAAATTTTTTAAATAAAAAATGCATTTATATTAAAACCAATTAAGGTGACAATACATTGTCAAATAAACTACACTTGACCTTGTTGGCTTCCTTCTCGGTGTACAACATCACTCCATTTTGATCAAATTTGTTACCCAACCACATATTAGAAAAATGCTTTAATTTTAATTAAAATGTTATATAATTGAGATCAACAATGGAATAAAANAACATCACTCCATTTTGATCAAATTTGTTACCCAACCACATATTAGAAAAATGCTTTAATTTTAATTAAAATGTTATATAATTGAGATCAACAATGGAATAAAATTAACATATAAGTAATGACTATTAGCTATGAAATTTATGTTAAAATTGTCCTGGTATTTTCGGAATAAACGGTGGTCATTCTCTAAAAGTATAAATAACATGGGTTTTCCATTGGACAAATAGGGTGACCCCTCTGTATAGATATTCACATTCATAAGAAATTACTGATCAATACCAATAATCGCAAACAAAAGTTAAATTCTTGTTAATCTAACACAAAAATTGTAAATAATTGATGAAAAGTTTTCTCTTTCTCTTCTTTTCTACTCATTTAACAAAACACGACTTAAATCTAATTTCCGTACATTTGAAGGGAAATACTGAATAGAGATGCGGACAAAGTTTCGCACAAAATCTGTATTCATGTCAGTCTTAATTCAAAGACTGAGTTTGCATTTGAAAACTCAATGCATTGTGTAATGTATTGAATGTGTGAATAAAATACGGTTTGTGTTTCTGAAACAAAGCTGTCCTTTTGTATTAGCCTCTCGTCAATCATTTCCTAATTTTATACATTTATTTCCAATTTTCATCATTTAATTTACTAATCAATACAATGGAAACCAAATTTTTTTTACTGTCAATAGACTTATTTTTATTTAAATTAATAATTTATAAGTATTTTCTTCTAAAGATAGCACTAATAATTTAATTATAAATAAAAGTTAGTTATTAGTTATTATTGATTATTTAATAAATAAAACAATTAATGATAATTAATTTATAAACATAATATTAATTAAATGGAATATATTAAATTAAACAGGACATTTACGATGTAAATAGTAGTTAATACTGTTGTATAAATAGTGGTTCTTTGCATTAATACTAATTAAAATGCAATATTTAAATATACATAAAAGCATCAATAAAACCGATCATCATTTACTAAAATTGTTTTTTTTGTCTCAGAGTCACAAAATGTACACAAAATATAAGCACAAATCAAACGATAAAATAAAGTTAATATTAAATTCCTAACGCATTGAATGTTTGCAAACATTAACTTAATTATAGTGTCTGTCAATAGAATTATGTTTCGCTTTATTATTGTACTAATCATTACATGAGTGGAAGAGAGAGAGAGAGAGAGAGAGAAAGAAAGAGAGAGAGAGAGAGAGAGAGAGATTGTAATTCCAGAACAAAGTTAACTCTTAGGGATAATAATAACAGTTTGTTTATGTGATATAACTTTACAGAGAGAGAGAGAGAGAGAGAGAGAGAGAGAGAGAGAGTTGTTATAAAAACAATATTTGTATTGTGAATGTTGTGTTTCTTCGTATAACTATCTGTCCATTCGTTTTGGACATTGTTTTTATAAACACAACAAAAATAATATAAAATATATATAACGGGAGGGAAGGATAGAGAGAAAGAGTATAATAAAAAATAGTTTTATAACTGATATAAACAGTAGTAAAGTAGACCCGGAGTCGAGAGACTCGATATTGTATATAGAAATTGATTGTCAAACCTATTTATTTTGCACCGGTTTTTCTTACAACTCAACACAAAACACCCGGAATTGAAATTAATGTTCAAATAAATAACATCTAAAACATAAATTAAGTTTCATTTTTTATATATCAATATAAAGCGATAACAAAAATATTGTATTAAATTTGTAG